AGAGAAAAAAATGATTTACTCGAAATATAAATATGTTCGGGAAAGAAATCACCGACTGATTGGCAAAATATAATGTCATTTGGATATGCGCATATATCGACAAAGTAGCTACGTTACAAGCTGTTCCTATAAATAAGCATAGACTTTTAGCAGTAAGCAAATGATCCACACATACAAATACATAAGTGGTTAGATTATTAGTGTAATGAAAAAAAACATAGTACTTTGACTTAGTTGATGCTTAATTACGAGGTTTTATCGTTCTTTGCAATAATATTACAATAAAAATTTGGACACCGATTTTTCTATTATAAAAAAATATAAAAAATTTTGTATTGCATACTTAGGTTTCATTATATATATATATAAATATATATATATGATTATATATATGATATATATATATTTATTCCAAATTGAACTAAATTTATTTAATTATTTTTCCCCCTAATTCTAACTAAAGGAACAACCTTATATGTCTGAGGTAAAAAGTAATATTAAAGAAATAAATAATATTTAAATAATAATACAAATTTATATTAAAAAATATGAAACAATTTACTGATATTTTTTGTTTAATTTAAAAGCGGTTTTTGTGATACAAATTTTTTAAGGATATCCTTTTATGTCACATTTAAATTGATATATAACTTTGTATATACATTTTGCTGACTTTATTTACATTAACTAATTTCTTTGTAGTACCTAATTAAACTTCTAAATCTCAGAATTCAAATTTCACACCATTAATTAATTGAGCGCTATTCAAACTATTTTAGACGTGCTATAAGGATTCAGGATATATCTTGGGCTCCACATAAGTGCTTTGCAATGTATGTGAGACTTTTATTTGGTCTAGACATTTATCATTTGCGTTTGTACGGAATCTAAGGATTAAACAAGAGACTGTTATTTTTGTGTGAATCAAACAAATATCCAAAATTGTTTTCGGCTAAAAAACCCCTCCAACATAGTGTCAACCTGCCTGTGCCAAAGACTCCAAAGCTATCAGAAAGTTCGAATTCTTGTAAAGAATTTATCCTAAATCAGCATGATATGGTATCTCAAGATAAGTGCCGAAATTATGAACTGTCAACTTCAAAAATACAGTATTTTGTTACACAAAGTGATTTAAAGGATTTTGTACGTGATTTTAATCTCTCAAAGCCAGGCAGAGCAGGGAAAGCTTGTTAAGCAATGGGAATATTTTTCAGAACTTTCTTGAAAATCATAAATATATAAAGAAATATGAAATGGATTTATGCTGAAAAATGAAGCTTTGGGTTATAAAATTTCAATACTAACTGAGGCTGGGCACTCATTTGGATTTCCTTCTGGTAAATTTGGGTACTAAGAGTAACGAATAAGGTGAAAGTGTCTTCGTAATGGAAGACATTTCCTTAATGGAAAAACGTTGTTAAGAGAAATCAAGTCCAGTAATGTCAGCAGATTATTTTTGGAGACCCAAACCAAAAGTCAAATTTTTAAGAAAATCAAAAAAAATATAGCAATAAAAATAAAAACTATTTCTAATGTAGATTTTTTAATTTTGAAAACAGTTGGTATAAATAATCATATGAAAAACGAACTTTCAACTTTGTTGACCAGTGTTATTTCATATATAAATTGGAATAAAAAACTCAAGTACATATGTTTAGATATTGAAAAATCAGCATGATTTTGACATGACCTGACTTATTACATTTTCGAAACACTCGTACATCATCTAAATTACAAAACAAAACATATTCACTAATATTATACTTATTGTATATCACACCCACGACTTAGCAGAAAAAATTAAATTAAAGAAAAAAGCAAAGAAATCAAAAAACACAAACTCTCATAGAAACCAACAACAACAAAGACAATAACTGTATCACATGACAAACTTTGGGTTGGTTTACACAGTTGTTGTATACTAATTATATTGCTCATTTTTACTTTGCACCACTTGCAAAAATGTACATATATATACATATATATATACATATAGCCGCATAATGTTGCCACAAATTGACTACACGTCAGTTCAACACACGTCAGTCGCATATCAAAAGTTATGTTGCACTTAACTGCAATGACCCAAAATGTTGTAATGCAAATGTGAAGAAAAAATAAATAAAAATATTGAAATTAAGTGAAAAACGCGAAAAAATAAAGAAATAAAGAAAAGAACGTGAAATAAGAATCGAAGAAATAGAACTACTACAAGTACAAATTAACTGTGTTTTTCGTTTTTTATACACGCCTTTGTCTTACTTTGATATTGACCTGCAAATGGAACGTTCAAAATATACATACAGACTTACATACGTACAATTATCATAACATTATTTGCTCAATAAGGTATTTATAATTTTTTTTTTTTAATTTCATTTTTGCCCATTTCATTAGTAAATGGCTGTTGGTGGTCAAATGTCATGGCATAACATATAATACAATATAATAATTAAAGTTGTTAAAACATTTCAATTTAATTAATTTCTTTCTTTTAATTTAACTACAAATAAATGGAATTATTTCAAAAATAAAATATTTGCATTAATTTAGTAATATTTAATATCAGCATAATTGTAATGGAAATAAATTTTAGCTATTTATTTTTCTTTTTTGAACTGGAGACAATTTTTAAAACATTTATTTAGATCAAGCAAACAACCAAAAAATTAATTACAATAATTAAATACAATTTAAGTTGAAATAATTACTTTATTTATTATTTAAATTGAATGGGTTTTTTTTAGAAAAATATTTAGAAAATATTTAGAAAATCTAGCCAATTTTGTTATGAGTTTTTGGAACTAAAAGAATAATTAAAAAAATGCAGATAATAAAAGACAATATTAAGAAAATGCTTTAAGGTGTTTTTTTTTTTTTTTTTTGATATTCTCTTTGCAGTAAGTTTTCAACCCTTTTTGAAGTCTAATAAATGGTTTAAAAATATTATCACTTTACTTTTGTACTCACTATGAACCTGCTTAGGCATAAGTTTCGAGGTTAACGCACATATCCAATATTTTTTTCAATGAATTTAATGAAATTTACTTTCTATGCTAAAAAAACTAAATAATATTTATTTTATGTTAAAAAAAACTTTTGTCAAATAAAAAAAAAAATGAGTGTTATTCTAGCCTTTGGAGCGTCATAACATTGTCTGGGGAAAAATAATGAAATGAGCTATTTCATCTTAGTCTTCCTCTAATTTCAGAAAGAATATTTATGTGCGCATTAACACAGTTAAAGGTTTTTTCGAACAGTTTTTGAAACAATAATTTCAAAGGATTTAAAATTCAAATTTATATTAAAATATTCCAACTTAAATTCTAAATGAAATTAAAATTAAATTTAAAATACAAATTCATAAACAAGTTTATAATCAAAAATAATTCAAATTCATATTGAAATTAATATTTAAATCGAAATTATTGTAATAAATTTAATTCAAAATTCAAATAAAAAGTAAAACTCGAAATTCAAACTCAAATAAAAATGAAAATTAAACATAGTTGTATTTATTTTTCACTTTCATATTAATTTTTTACTTTAAAACCCCAATGCAAATTCAAATTCAAAATATAATTAAATTTAAAAACAAAAAATTCAAATTCAAAATAAAATTAAATTTAAAATCACGATTCAAATTTAAATTAAAATCAAAATTTAATATATAAGAAAAAACTATATTAGAACTGAAATTTAAACTTTAATTTTTATTATTACAATTAATATAATTAAATATATTAAAATCAATATTTAAATTGAAAATATAAATTAAAATATTTTTTATTTATTTTTATCAAATTTGTTCTTTACTTTAATTAAGTATAAAACACTATCAGAATAAAATTAAATTTAATACTTATTAAAAATTAAAACTAAAAATTAAATAAAAAATGAAACTAATTTGAAATTAAAATTAAAAGCAAAATTCAAGTTCAAATTATTATGAAATTTAGATTAAAATTAAATTTGTAATTATTATAGTGAACATAAATAAACTAAAATTTGTAATTATTACAACAAATAAGATAACTATTAATATAAGCACAATAAAAATTAAATTTATTTTATTTTTTTTCGAATTTATTTTCACTTTAATTACGGTTAAAACTTTATTTCAAAATGAAATTTAAATACAAATTCAAAACTAAATTTGAAAGTGAAAATACAAAAATATTAAAACCAAAGAATAATTGAAATTGAAATTATTTTTTCATATTTATTTTTTATTTTAATTAAAAATCAATATATATATATATATATATATATATATGTGTATATAATTGGCGCTCTGTAACCGATTATATATATGGCGCTTTGTAACCGCTGAAGCGATTTTCAAAGTATAATTGAAATTAATTTTAAATTCAGAACCGCAGCTAAAATAAATTTCAAAATTAAAGTTAAAAATTATGTTAAAGTTAAAATAATTAATCAAATTCAAATTAAATTAAAATTAAAATCAAAAGAAAATATGATAGTGAAAATAAAATTAAAATTAAAATTGAAACTATAATTATTTTGGAATCTTTATTACAATTATTTTTGATATTTAGATCAATTATAAAATCAAAATTATAATTGAACATACATTTTTTAAATTTTTTTTTTTGCATATAAATTTTAATAATAATTTGGGTTTAAATATTTGTTTTAAATCTAATTCTTTGCCTTTCTTGTGCTAACTTTTTTTGTTAAATTTATATTAATTAATTTAATTTAAGTCAAACTAAAGATGAATCACACAAAATAATGAAAGAACTAAAATAAAAAATAATTTAAGAATGAAAAAGCTCTCGCAAACATTTTTGATAAAGATAAATATTGTGAATTCAACACCGAAAAATAATATTTTTTTTCAATTCGCATTTTTTCAGCACCTTTCCAAAAATGTTAAATCACCGTGGAAAATATATATATGTATGTGTTTGCATAATTTGGGTATTTATCAAACTTAGTATACTTAATTGCTTTCATACTTCCTTATTGGTACTTACGAATTTCATTTTCGTCTGTTACAGTTTTGCTACGTATCCGCTGAGAAATTACAAGTAAGTAATTTGAAAAATTGTGCACCAAAAATGAAATGCACAAATCACTATAATAGCAAATATAAACACTCTTTTTCAAAAGCAATTGCTATACGTTCGCTACGATGGTAATAACAACAATAACACTTTAGACACTTTTTTATGTAAATTTGTTACACTTTTATTTTTTTAGCACCATTAATTTCACTGAGATTTTTTATGCTTATTTTCTCGGATTTTTTTTTTTTTTTTTTTGTTATGCTTTATTTAAAACACCGCCAAGTTGCACTTTGGTGGCAAATATATATATTTTTTCTTTTGAATTACGTAGTTGCCTGAAAAAAATATATAAAAATGTTTTTTTTTTTTTTATTTTTTTTTCTTGATTTCTGTTTTTGAAGTTAACCGCGTGTTGCTTCTACTGTAACAAACACAATTTACGTTGTTGTACTCCTTCGATTCGTACTTTGTACAATTTCAAAATTACATATATTTTTTTTTTGTGTTTGTATTATATGTAAGTGCTCACTGGGATAGACGTGTACGGTTTGGTCAGATGTTCAAACAGTCATCCGTCTTCGTATATACTGTGGTAGAGTTGGTGGTTTATTGGCGGTTTATTTGGTTGCTTTACTTCGTCTGTGTTGTACGGTGCTGTGCTGTATGCTTTCGGAGATATTAAGAGACTTGTGGTAAGACACTTAATGAATTCCAATGGTTATGCTTAGTTGGTTTTATATTAAACACGAAACACTAAATTCTGCTTATGTTTTACTCTCGAATTTGAGCACAATCGCAGGCAAAGCGACTCAATGCAGTGGCGTGCGAGAGCGCACGAGAATGTGTACACGAATGAATGAGTTGATTTTCCGCTACTTGGCACTACTTGGCACTACTTGGCCGTACAAAAGGCGGGCGTACGTGATTAACGGTTGTGATTTTGAGTGACTTTTCAATGCTTTGAGTGCACTCACGTGCCGCTGTTCTTTTCTTGAGAATATTAAACTTGAGTTCGCAACTTGTTGTGTGGAGATTTGTGCTTCTGACGTGATAAGCTGATCGCAGCGTTCGCTTCTGTTGTGCTAAGAATTTCTTCGTTTGTATGTGTGTGTATGTATTTCTTTCCTTACTTACGTGTAATTCTCGTGAAAAAACGACTTTCACTTATACTGTTGCTTAATGTAAGGGTCATTTAACGATACGCAATGCATTTGTTCGTTGCTACCGTTTCGGGCGGTGTTCTGATGCATTAATGGCATGCAGTGAATCATGAACACACTCGTTTGTCACACTGCACCGTAATCAAGTTGAGCGCACAGAAACTTTATTAATAAGCAGGTTAGTCACAAGTTGATAAAGGCATTAAGTACACACTTTTGCTCTTATTTTCCACGTTAAGGAAACGTTGATGATTAATTAAGTTCAAGCAAATTGGGAATTCGACCCTTAAAAGTAGGCATTTTTAATATTTCTCAATTAAGGCAGTATAGTCTGCTTTAGAAACCAAAGAAAACGTAGTTTCAGCAATTTATTTGATTTGAAAGCGAAGGAAATTATGGGCTCTAAGTGACCAGAAAAAAGGTATCTCATTTGCCACGCATCTTTCCACTGTATTTACACCAAAAATTGTATACAAATCTCTTCCAGAACTTCGTGCAGAACCAGATGAAATTTGAAACCACTTAAAGAAATTATTTCTAACGACATAAAGAAAATCCTGGATACGACAGGATAACGAGTGATATGATAAAAGAGCTGCCAACTGTGGCAATTAAACACATGCTATGTATATTTAATAGCATATTGAGACTATGCTATTTTTAGCCTTCGGAAATTATAATGATCCCTAAACCAGGTAAAGATCCAACTCTGGTGAGCTCCAACAGGCCTATTAGCTTAATTATGGTATTCTCAAAAATCTTCGAAAAAAATTTTTTTGTAAAAAATATTACCGATTTTAGAAACGAAACAGACCTTACCATGCCACCAATCCGGGTTTAGATCAGCGTTTGAAAACAAGCAATTTTGTACTACAGTTTTCCTCGCTGTTGCTTAGGCATTTGATAAAGTTTGGTTAGATGTCTGTTATACAAGCTGAAAGGTACGCTTCCCGTAAAAACGTATGATGTCTTAGAAAGCTTGCTTATTGGTAGAAAATTTCGTGTTAGGCAAAAAAGTTACACCACTGAATCCTATGAAATATTTGCTGGTGTTCCACAAGGAAGTGTCTTAGGGTCCGTCTTGTATTTAATTTATACGAACGATCTTCCCACAAACCGAAACCTCATCACATTAACTTTTGCGGGTGATACAGCAATATTTAGTGTCCATTGAAGCCCCATGACAGCCAGATTACAAGCACATTTAAAAGTAATAGAAGAGTGGCTAACAACTGCGAGAGTTAAAGTCAATTTGTCTAAGTGTATACAAGTAATATTTACCCTGAAAAAGACACATGTCCTTCAATCTCTACAGACGGTAATACAATACCTCAGAAAGGATTCGCTTCCTACCTGGGAGTTACATTGGATAAAAGACTCACCTGGAAAAACCACTTAGACAAAAAAATTACTCAAACCGAATTGAAAATTGCGAACTTGCATTGTATTGTAGGCTCTAAGTCCAAACTAAGTCTAGAAAACAAAATTTTACTTTTTAATATGCTTATGAAGCCATCTTAAACGTACGGGATCCAAATTTGGTGCTCAGCATCTAAATCTAGCCTAAATAGAATTCAAAGACTTCTGTTTAAAACCTTAAGATCAATATGCAAGGTCCCTTGGTATATAAAAAAACACCACAATTCACAACGATCTCGGGATGAAAACCGTCACCAAGAAAATAGAGAAACTGCTTCAAAATTACTAATTAAGGTTATCTAACCACCCAAACCTTCTACCTAGAAAATTTTTACAGCAGAACTAACCTAAGTGATTAAAGAGTAAGGATTCACGTTTGAACTGTGGCTAAGGGATCTGCCGCATCCAATTATTCTACATCGGAGTTATGCTCCGCATATATCCTTCATGATATTATAATTTACTTCAAATTATCCTTTGTGATATATCTTTGCTGTTAAATTTGAAACATGCTTCGATAAATCTAAGTTATTTCGATTTAGCAAATTTGTTTATTTATCCTTAATACATAAAATTTCAAATTAATTAATTGAAAGTAAATTATTTGATTAGGTGAAGCAATGTGCGCGGTGTTGATTAGGCGCGATGAGACGCTTTGCCTGAAAATATCAAGCGTTCACGAGGTTAAGGGAGACAATAACCCGAAGGCACACACGAGAGGTAGATGTGGACTGAGACGAGGAATATTTTGGACATTCGCCCGAGAGCTCTAAGCGTAGTACAGTATAGATCCGTGTTCTATTTATCTGTGCTTTTGATAGCAACATTGTAACCACGGTTACTGGTAAGACAAATCAAGAAAACCCAGAACAGCTAGTTTACACTGGGTTAGGGATTTTAATGTTTCGCGATTGATTGTTAAGGCGGTGTGGTTAATTCTTTAATTTTACGATATTTTAGTGATTTCTTTTCAGTGATTCCTAATCGACAACTCAAATTTATTAAGGTATATTTACATTGGTTGGTTGGCTGAAAGGTAAAGACATAGAGTAGGCTCACTCTGCTCCTCAGCATAACCAAACCATATAAAATTTCTTTCTTCCAACCATACGTGCTCACCACCGTGAGGATGGAACTGCGAGCATCATAAAAGGTGTGACGTCTCGAACATTCAGCTAATTCCAGTTTACCTAACTTATGGAGATGAAATCTAATAGTTAGATGCCCCATCAATACACCTACAAGTATATTAAGCTCTCCTTTGCTTAAATGAGTAGCCATGTGGGCTATCTCCAATCCATATTGTACTACAATAATTTGATGAAAGTGTTGCGGTACCATGACCCACTGCTTTAGACAACATTTTCATGCGCTGAAAGATCTGAAGCAGTCAATCAAGACAATATCGCTCACGTTGCCAGCGCGAGCCAGCTCAGCCACTTTTCCAAATGATTTTCACTGCATTTTCGCGCGATTGGCTGTTAATTGTCTCTTCTCATCTTACGTACTTGGATTTTGTATAATTTGAATTGCTTTCTTTGCCACTTGACTGTCTACCAAAGAGCTTGTACTCTTCCAGTTAAAAGGGTTATCCGTTTAGCAGCTTGTTTAATGACCACGTTCTCTGCTTCGAACACATATAGGGTTCGCTATCAAGACCTTCGATATTACATCATTGAAGAACTCTGCTGTGAGCAAGATTTATTTAGGATAAACTTTGTCTCTTATTTCGAATCATTCGAATCGATTAAATGACCTCCTTCATTCGTTACACAAAAAGAAGCTCTTTTTCTCGTATTCTGCATAATATTGGTCAGCATTTCAGGCATAACTGCGTTTGTTACCTTTTAGTTCGTCGATTGTCTTGTTGGAAGACCTTTTTCTCGTATTTGTGGTCACACAAAATGCGCCAACATTCAACAATAGCGTACGCCGTCGAGGGCTCATCCAACTTTGAAAAAAGTGGTCGGGTGATGGTTTTTGAGCACTCTCCGGCCCAATCAGTTACTTTTTGATCGTGCAGTGGTGTTTCGTAAATGGCGCATGGGTTTTCTGTTCCCCAAACTCGACAGTTTTGTTTATTGACTCCACCGGAGAGGGTGAAATGGGCTTCATACTGAACTGTTTTCTCAACCGAGCGATTGATTTCAATCAAAGCGCTACGACTTCAGCGCATTCTCTCGGTGTGCATTAACTCATGTTTAAGATGGCACTGAATGACGTTTCAGAATTATGGACATTCCTCAAAATCGGCTAAAAACCGACAGAGTTATTCAATGTTGAAATACTAATTTGTTCTTACTGAGTTGGCTATTGGCGGGCTCACGAAGGACCCTGTGTCTGTGCTGCCCTGTATTCAGGTCCATCAGTTTACTTAGATTAGCTTAAAAATTTGTTTATTAAGGCTTAATAAAGGAATCGCTGCCCACAATAGCCGAGTGGTTAACTTTGCGTACTGCTATTCGGAAGACCAGAGTTCGAGTTCTGGTTGTCAAACCCTCCGAGCGCATTTCTGACTTGAAATAAATGCTCCTCATAAAACATCATCGGCCGAATGAAGGCGGGTTAAAATAAACTGTAGGGTGCTCGATTTATTGGAAAACATCTATATTTATGGTATATTGGAGAAGGGGCTAGGCGGAAGCGGTTACAAAAAGCCAATTATATACAAATAAAGGAATTTCTTATATTTGGCTTTTTAGTTTTTTCATTATTTTTTAAGAGCTTATTTATTTATATTCTTTCGATAATAATTTTTTTTGGCTAAATAATAAATTATGTTCATAATTAAGTATTAGCATTTTCAAAATATTTTTCCTTGTTTACGTTTTGTTTTTGTAATGGCTTACATAATTTTTGCATCGAAAATAATTATAATGGAAAAACTTCCAGTAATTTCTCTCAAATTAATTTAAAAGCTACAACCTTGCCACATATTCACATACACATGTATTTATTTTTATTTTTATTATTATTTTTTTTTCTCAAAAGCATTCACAATTATTGCTGATAACAATCTAGTTAAGTTTATTTCTTATACATATTATTTACGCCTATATAAATTACCTTCAAAATTTCAGTGTTATTTGTTGTTGTGCATGGACATTCATTTACGCAT